CAATATTATTTCACTTGGAAAGTGTCTGTTTAGCATTGGAAGTACCATGGTCAAATGCGGTCTAACCCGAGTGTAGTTATGACCCAAGTATTCCCGGATTAGTACGTGGGATGATCCTTTCAATGCTAAATCCGATTGGCTGGAACCGCTGGAGTGCGGCCAGAAAGTCCTACATGCATGAGTGCGGCCAGGGGTAACTCATGCATGAGTGCGGCCAGAAAGTCCTACATGCGCCCTGCAAGTCACCCCGTCGCTCCTGCACAATATTTCACGGGCTCCAATACTGCCGAATCCGCGCGAAGATCTCCTTGCGGCAATCACTAAGTTGGCGTCTCTCTGAGACCTGGATGCACGGCACTGCAACCGCATGGTAGCCCTGGATCACGTCCCAAGAATCGTCCACTGCCACGGATGGATCCAAAGACTTCGCAATGCGACCTTTGTCAGCTTTCATATGGCAAATCACGATCAGGCAGAATTTGGCTGCCACACGAGAGGAAATCAAAGATCTGATGTATCGATCAGAGTTACCCCTTCCAATGTAGCTCAAAGCGATAACCGCAGCATTGTCCTCCAGAAGTTCCAGAAGCAAGTCACCCGTTGCCCGAGTAATGTGAAGAGTACCCTGATGCGTCCGTGCAAGTTGCCCGCGCTCCAATTCGGAGCGAACCCATGCAGGTGGTATGAGAAAGGTTTTGAATAAGTCGAAGATGACGCACCCATGCAATGTACGCTGCACCTCCTCCCAGTCAGGGCCAAACTCAGTAGAATACTCAGCCGCTGCCCGGTTGAAGATGGTTCGACCGTCAAAGCCTGGAAGTGATCTTACCTCAAAGCCATTTGATTCCCAGAACAATTCAAGCTGATCTTCCGGCGCAATCGGTGGAAAAACTGGATGGGCCTTATCCTGCGCGCTTGACGTCGCAGCTGCACTCGATGATGTGCTCAGTGTACTGGACGCCGATGGCCTGCCCAGACCCAGGTCGAATTCATCCTGTTCAGCCTCCGAATCTGAGATCGTCAAGGTACTGTCTTGCAGTACGACCGGGTAAGAGCGGTCCAAATGTTGCAGTTTCCAGAAGAAGTCGCGAGTTCGCTTCCTCTTATTTGATTTACCACCCCGTGGGCGATACTGCCTTGTGTGCATACAGTATATCGATGGTCCCAGATCAGTGAAATCACAGGGAGCAAGGCCGAATGAGCAATCGTTTGAACATCTGAATAGCTACGGCTACGGTGTTTGAATTATACATGCTGAAGCGGGTGGTCAACAATGTGAAAGTGAAAGGGGTATCCCGATACCAGTTGTACGCAAATTGATGGGGCAAAGCTAAAATATTATATAATGCAAATTAAAGAGAGCAGCCACTAGGAAGCTGCGTCTAACTGAATGGCCATTGTTACTTTGAGCCCAAATAGGGGCAAAATGAGGATCGTTGTAGACCTTGCCCCTTGTCCGGATATCATTTCTAGTATTCTTTCCATTGGAGAATGACTTGCTCATGTGATGTCCGGACGGGTGCACACCCATTGCGCCTGGGACCATACGCGAAGCACAGGATCTGCCGGACGAGTGCTGAGATGTCTGCACTTGTGCTGCTTTGATGTTTTTACTGGGTTGTGTCCGGCGGCGAGAGCGCTCTCATATAGCTCTCTGAAACCCCTTACCTTGCTGTTGTGACTACCTATGACCTATGGTTACTTTTCCAAATATGTCGCCAAAAAAAACTGGATCTGGGATGACCAGAAAACGTGAGTGTCTGTCCTCTGCTTGGAGAAGAAAAAATGAAATCGAGTTGGAGTTGCACCATCGCATGTTGTAGCTCTGAGCAAAAGTGCATTGGCTCAACGCTGTCCAGGATGGCAGCCACGACGCTCACAACACGGTTCAATATTCACGTCAAACAAGATGGAAAGAAACGACTTGGGACGGGTTTGAACGCGCCAAACTCCCCCATGGAACACTCCGTCAAAAGCGCAGTTGCCAAAGACCGTTGGTGGCAGCATGGTTCAAAAACAATTGAAGTGTTTCTTTCTAGGAGATGCTTGACGGTTTGATAAGCCACACAGGGCCACACATATTCAAAAGTACTTTCAACATGTCATTGGTTGTCAAGTAAGAATGAATTGACCGGATTCAAAGGCCACTTTTAAATGGAATTCGACCGTTCCAGGGTTTGTGTGACAGGCCGTATGGCCGAAAACTCCAGCGCAATGTAAAGTTCTTATCTATCAGGTATAAACGTTGCAAAGAGCAGGGCCTCACCCATTCCGTCAAGCGGAAAATCGCGGGGAATCTAACTGCCATATACATGTGGGCGCGCTTCATCTCAACATATTCAATGAGCTTATCACACTTCAAAGGCTTGGCATGTGCTACTGTTGTTAGAAATAGAACTCAGTTAGGATTTAATTAGAATTAGAATCTATTTAAATTTTCATGAGAATGAAAATTTAATCATGATTTGATTGAAATTAGAATTGACTTAAAATTTAATGACAAGTAGAATCTAATTGGAATGTAAAAATGATATTAATTGGAAATCAATTTAAAATTTGATTAGAATTAGAACTTAATTTGATTTCAATTGGGTTGAGAATATAAGTAAATTTTGAATCGAACTAGAAGTGTCATAAGAGTAAGTCAATATTAGAAGTGAAGGAAAGTTGAATTACAATTAGAACTTTATTGAAATTTAAATAGAATTTAATTAGCGTCTAAATTTCAGCAGAATTGGAAATTTAATCAAGAAAACTGGATCGGCCTGATCGGCCTGATCGGCCTGATCGGCTTGATCGGCCTGATCGGCTTGATCGGCTTGATCGGCCTGATCGGCTTGATCGGCCTGATCGGCTTGATCGACCTGATCCGCTTGATCGGCCTGATCGGCTGGATCGGGCCCATCGGCTTGATCGGCTTGATCGGCCTGATCGGCTGGATCGGCTTGATCGGCCTGATCGGCTTTGATCGGCTTGATCGACCTGATCGGCCTGATCGGCTTGATCGGCCTGATCGGCCAGATCGGCTTGATCGGCTTGATCGGCCTGAGCGGCCAGATCGGCTTGATCGGCCTGAGCGGCCAGATCGGCTTGATCGGCTTGGTCGGCTTGATCTGCGTGATCGGCTTGATCGGCTTGATCGGCCTGATCGGCTTGATCGGCTTTATCTGCCTGATCGGCCTACTGATCGGCCTGATCGGCCTAATCGGCTTGATCGGCCTGATCGGCGTGATGGGCTTGATCGGCGTGATCGGCTGGGTCGGCCTGATCGGCCTGATTGGTGATCGGCCGGATCGGCTTGATCGGCCTAATCGGCTTGATCGGCCTGATCGGCCAGATCGGGCTGATCGGCCTGATCATCGGCTGGATCGGCTTGATCGGCTGGGTCGGCCTGATCGGCCTGATGCCTGATCGGCTTGATCGGCCTGATCGGCCTGATCGGCTTGATCGGC